TCAGTGGGCGCCAGCGCAGAGCGCTCGATGATCGCCAAGCTCAAGCTGCGGTGCGGCGCGCAGTTCACCTCGAAGCTGGAGGGCATGGTGACCGACATGAACCTGTCGCAGGACATCCAGTCCGCCTTCGCCGAGCACGTCAAGGACAAGGAGCTCGAGCTCGACACCGACCTGACGGTGCAGGTGCTCACCACCGGCTTCTGGCCACAGTACAAGTCGGACGAGCTCAAGCTGCCAAAGGAGATGCTGCAGTGCGTCGAGACCTTCAAGGCCTTTTACGACTCGCACACCTCGCACCGCCGGCTGCGGTGGGTGCACTCGCTGGGCTCGGCGACCGTGGTGGGCAAGTTCACGGCCTCGGGGAAGAGCAAGGAGCACGACCTGCTCGTCTCCACCTACCAGGCCTGCATCCTGCTGCTCTTCAACGAGGCGGACTCGATGACCTTCTCCGACATCCAGGGCCACCTCAACCTGCCCGCCGAGGAGCTCAAGCGCTACGTGCTCTCGCTCTGCGGCGGCAAGTACAAGATCCTGACCAAGGATCCGGCCGGCAGGGAGGTCGCGCCGACCGACACGCTGAGCTGCAACGCCACCTTCTCCGACCGCCACCAGCGGATCAAGGTGCCGATGATCGCCCCCAAGATGACGCAGGAGGAGAAGGACGCGGCGCTGAAGCAGGCGGAGCTGGAGCGCAAGCATGTCGTCGAGTGGGCGATCATCAAGGTGATGATGCGCGAGAAGCGGGTGGAGCACGAGGGTCTGGCTGAGCAGGCGCAGGACTGGATCAGAACGAGGCCAAGCACGGGCTTTCACATGGCGAGGGATTACTTCGACGCGATGGTCGTGGACCTCATCCGCCGGGAGTACCTGGAGCCCGAGGCTCCCGAGCGTCCTCCCGGGAGTGGCAGCTTCTACAAGTACCTAGCTTGATGGCTCCAGCGGTGGCCTGACTGACTGAGCCTTACGATCCGTCCGGACAGCATTCGCCGCTGACGTACGTCACGTCGAGACGGTGGAGGTCGAGGGCCTCGCGTACGAAGTTGTGGACGGATCCGATCTGTGACGTACGATCCCGTATATACGTGCATGACGGAAATCGCTTGGCACGTAGATTTCCGTTTTTTGTATCATACTGCATACTGGGCTGGGTTTTTAGGCATTGTGGGGTTGGCACTCCCATCGACCCTCATGACCTCCTGCGGTCTCTGAGATGGACACCAGTGGGTGTGGGGCCACAGCCAGGATACAGTCAAAGGCTGGGTAAGCAGTAGAGGTCGATACTCGACGCGTCCCACATGGTCTGTGTCGCTGTCGGCACGCTGTCGACAGGACGTCGAGCGACACCGGTGGCAGTGCCACCCAGGAGTGGTCGGGCGGTCTCCCGTCATGAGAGAGCCACCATGTGATCCGTATGATGGTTCCTGACAACCGCCTCAGTCAACTTTCGTCACAGTTCCCGCTCTGAGAGGAGCTGCGGGTCAGTTCGACAGCTGGAGCTGTGTCGCCGGCGTGCGGCGGCCTGCCTCCGGAGGTGCCTCTGAGGTGGACATTTCTTGGTCACCGTGAGAGAACGCGTTCGAATTTTTACTCCGGAACTTCAACTTCACACGCGCACCGGCCAGGGCTACAATAGTGCCAGTGAGGCGGAGGCGCGAGTCGGAAGGCCGCGACCGTGATTTGGTCCCTTCATTTTCCTACAATCGCTGTGAACCCAGCCACGTAATCTCGATATTACCCGCACAATTCAAAACGCTTTCTCGTCCCTCTTTCTCGTCCCCGACTATTCTTGACCGCGAGAAAGCGTTTTGCCACGACCCGCTTTGCGCCGCCGCCCTCAACGCCCGATACTCGGTTAGAGCCGGCGGAGCGACGGCGGCAAAGGTGCGGCCGCCGGCGACCTCACACGGCGTCAAGCGCCGTAGAGACGGCCTCGAGAGCCGCCACCAGGTGTGCCACGACCGCGGCCGCGAGGCTCGTGGCGATGGATGCGCCAGACCCGCTTTGCGCCGCCGCCTCAACGCCCGATACTCGATCAGAGCCGGCGGAGCGACGGCGGCAGAGTTGCGGCCGCCGGCGACCTTCCCCTCGACCACGCCGCCGACCCGTCGACAAGCACGCGTGGACTGCCATCGAGAAGAAGGAGAAGGAGGGCGGCGCATCCGGAGCCCGCGGGCGCGGCGTGGGCGGGCGCGGGCGCGGGCGGGCGCGCGGGAACCCCGCCAGCGGAGGCGGCAATGCCTCTGGCGCTCCGGCGGCTCTGCAGGCGGCGCGCGGCGCGCCCCTCGCCGGTCTCCCGCACGCTCCTGAGGGCCGAGAGGGCCGAGAGGCGGGGTCGGTGACCCGGGGGCATGGGCGGTGCGGCCCGCGCCGCGCGCGGGCGCGTAGCAGCCCGTGAGGGCCGAGATCGGGTCTGTGCTTCGACGTAGCATGGGCCCCCGGAGGCCCATCTACAGCAGCGGCGAAGTGAGCGTGTTTGTGGTGTTGGTGTGCCGTCTGAGCTTGGATCTGTGACTAAAGCCGCTTACCACTGATGGATCCCCACCCGAATAACACACAGTGAGCGCCCCAGCACTTCACTACGCCCTCCGCGCGAAATCGCTAGTGGTGCTTTGTGGCAGCACATTGATTGTGCTTTGTGGCAGCACGGGTGCGGTGCCCGAGACCGCCCTCACGGCCGCCTGCCCGGTGCGCACCACGTCTGAACCACAGCGTGTCCCGACTCGACTGCCGGCGTCCCAGTCCGGGGGTGTTTCTCTTCTTATCCGTTACCATGTAGAGCAACGCCGAGGGCGGGCCCTTTCGGGCTCGGGCCGCCCTCTCGCCCGCACCTCTGCGGGGCTCGCACGTGGTAGCGGCGGTCTGCTCACGACAGTGAGTGGGCTCTTCACGCTATCCACTGCGCCGCGGCTACGCCGCGCCCTATCCAAGCCCAGGGCTTGGTTCGCCGATAACCGCATCTCGCTCTGCGCATCTCTGAGGCTACCCGCGCGCCGACTGCTACGCGCGCGGCGAGAGGCGCACCCCATCAGGGACAGGATTGAGGCCCCTGTACGAGCTCGGCAACGCCGCCGTCGTTGCCCTCCCGAGCCCTCAACACCGTGCTGCACATAGCGCAACCCGTTCTGCGCACATACCGCAGGGAGGAGTTTTCACTCAACCATCCGAGTTTCTCCTTCCTGCAGGGCGAGAGACATCGGCCTCTCTACTTCCAGGAGAACATCTACGCCACACGCTATCCCGACGGTCCACAACCCACACTGCAGTCGATCCAGCCCTCGCACTCCCCACTGGAGATCTAGCGAGGCCCCCCAGGCTGGGACAGGATTGGAGCCCCTGTGCTGCGTCTGTGGTGATATGTGGGGGACACTTTCTCCTCCCTATTCATGTCAGTGACTCGACTGCGTCGAGGGGGGGGACGTCTGAACCACAGCGTGTCCCGACTCGACTGCCGGCGTCCCAGTCCGGGGGTGTTTCTCTTCTTATCCGTTACCATGTAGAGCAACGCCGAGGGCGGGCCCTTTCGGGCTCGGGCCGCCCTCTCGCCCGCACCTCTGCGGGGCTCGCACGCACCAGGCCGAGATGAAGAAGCACGTGGAGCAGATCCATGCGCCTGACCCTCAAACGAGCCCCCCCCAGGGTTAGTTATCCAGCCCGCAGCCCGTCCCGAGCATCTGTCACCGACAGTGCACAGCTTTTGACCGCCGCATTTCGCCGCCGCAAAAAGGGGGCGACGGCGGGCGCGGCCCTCGCCGACAATGCCACTGCTCGTCGCTCTCCCCAAGTCCTCCTCGGACTCGGCAGCCGCATCTATCGCCTCAATGGGAAACCTGTCGTGGACACAGGAGCGCTTCCGCGGAATGTGCATGGTGCACTGGGATTCAGCAAGCAAGCGGCTGTACGGGTCGCTGCATCATGCAGATATGTGCAACGTGCACCCTCTGCGGATCAAGGCGTGGCAGTCCAACGAGAAAACGTTGTACAAGCAGCACCTGCCACCGACCAAGGCGGCGGTGCAGGCGGCGCTCGCTAACGGCTCGAAGACAATCGTCCTCCTCCGTAACCCGTGGTATGCGGCCGAATCCGACTGCGAGTCAGCCAGGGCGGGGGGCATGTGGCTCCACCAGACGAAGGAGAGCCACCTCGCTCATAAGCTGCTCGCGTACCGCGCGTTCGCCCGTGGCTGGCGCGATGCAGCCGCGGAGTATCCCGAGCAGATCCAACTGATCGAGTTCGACTCCCTGCAGGCTAGCAACTCCAGCCGCGAAGCTGCCTTTTCCTTGGCCCTGCGATTCTGGGGCATGCCGCGAGTGAGACCGTTTCGCGACTTTCACCACCACTACATGCATTGCGGGCATGCCTCCTGCTACCACGACATGCGCAACGATTCGGAGCTCGCCGCGACCCAAGCGCAGCTCGAGGCTGCTGGCGACGCGGAGGAGTGGTACCATTGGGCTGGTGGGTCAGATGAGATGGCTGGAGGCGCGGTGAGGGGGCTTCGAGGGGCGAACAAGTGCGCGATCTCACATAAGCTCGGCTCCCTCGATGAATACGAGGCGGCCCTCAGAAAGCGAGAGGCCGCCAAACGCGCTCCGCCCTCGGACGCCGCCTCCAACGACCCCACAGCGGCAGTTCAGCCATGACATCGGCCCATGAGTTCTCGAGATCGGTCATGTCATTCAGTTTCGAGTACGTTATTTCTTCTCGATAACACGGTCTGTGAAGCGGGATTCGTGGCCGTCTCACGACCCTCTCCCGCCACACCTCCCCTCTCGCCTCCCCCGCCACCACCTCCCCGCCTCTCCCCAGCCACACCCTGCGCCAGCGGTCTCAGCTCTAGCTCTCTCCACCGTTTGGGCCTTGGCCTTGCCCAGCGGGCGGGAGCTGTCGGTCGTACTGAGGCTCACCTCTGCCGCCGCCAGCTCTCTCCCCGTCTCGCCGCGACGCGGCCTTCAGGTCCGGCCGCCAACGAGCCGCTTCGCGCCTGGAGGCTTGGCCATCTTCGTCTTCTTTGGCGGCCGCGGCCGGGCGCCGCCGACCTCCTCCGCATCCTCAAACTGCGTGCACCGGTAGAGGGGGGCTGGCGCTTGCAGCTGGCCCAGCACGCGGCGCGCCCGTTCGTCAC